TGTCCGAACACGTGCCAATCTGCTCGTGCGTGTTAATCAGCTCGCGCGCATCGGTCAACACAGTGCATCAATCAGCTCGCGCGCATCAATCAACTCGCGCGCGTCGGTCAACACGCGCGAAGCGTACAAGTCAACGAATGACGAAATGCGCAATACAAGTCCCGGAGGATCGGAAAAATGCCAAAGGTCAAAACCCCGCGCCCGCGCGGTTCGACCCGCGCACGCGCGAGTCGGATGTTGTTTTGACCTCCGGACGTGTTTTCGATGGTTTTGAGCGGTTTTTTTAGGATTTATCTGTTCCAGGGGTTCCCAACTATCTTGATATCATCTACAAACGTGGTTAGGCCGTTATTTACTGAAGATAAGGCCAAATCACTTATTCTTATCCGAAAACCCCCAACCAAAGCCTATAAATATAGGCCTAGGGGTTTATTTCACAGGGGCGGATTATTATTCAAGAGGGCGAGGTGCTGTCGGATTGAGGAGTCAAAGGAGCATGAATTTTAGCGAGGGTTAGCGAGATCCCGACGAACTCTAGCATAGAGAAGGAGCTATTCGAAGGATCTGAAGCCCGATTCCACTGTTCCTTGAGATTAGGCTTGGTCTTAATCTCGAGAAGAGCTACTGATTTCGCTTGGTCGATTTCAGCGCTTTAAGCAAATACTTCCTTGGTGAAGGCGAAGCTCTGCCGAATTTTCCATCAACCGGATCCAGATCTAAGGTGGTCCATGGATATCAAAATCCTCAGCACAGGCAAAGATCCCGCACAAGCAGAAGACCGATAAATGATCCCCCTGCGTTTGTTTTGATGAGAGTTGTAATTTTTTGTTTTCATTGTGTAAAAGTCTTATAAAAAGACTATCTTTTTGTTTTCATTGTAACGACTGAAGTTGTAATGAATACCATAATGAATATAGTAATTTTCGACGCAAACAAACTGGCGACCACAGTGGGAGCCAACAGCTTTGTTGCCGAAGTTGTTGTGTCGCAACCTCGGATCTGCATCCCGGTTGAAGAAGTGGTCGAATATGAGTTCGACCAACTGAATTTCGAGGAGTATCTGTCGTCCTCCTCCTCCAGATCCTCCGCCCCTCGTAAGCGCAGGAAGATCAAGACCCCCGTTGTTGCTGCCCTCTCACTTTGCAACACCCCTCTGGCTTCCAACGAGGCCGGATCTACAGATCTGAACTCCTCCTCAATCAAGGAGTTGAGTACAGAAGGCGCGCCAATCCTATCGAAGAGGGCACGTCAAAGACGACGTTAACGCCTCGTGCGTCATCTTGCTAAGGCTTTGGAGCCGATAGACGGGATCCGTTACGAGGCGGATCTAAAATTCAAGGAGCATCAAGCGACCCAACAGCGAGCAAACGCCCCCTCCTCCAAATCATCAACAAGTGAATGGATCCAAATCAAAAGGATCCGTTCAACTCTGGAGGAGCGAATCCAAAAGCGCTACGCACTTGCACACACGCGAATTCTTGTGCAAAAGGCACAAAAGATGCAGAAGGACGTAGTCAAGAAACAACCAAGACTGCATAGAGTATGGAGGCCAAAGTCCAAGACGGCGGCCGAAGAGATCAAAAAACGTGGGTCACTTCAATCCGACCCTCCTGCTCGCGGGTCACCCAGATCCGACCCTCCTGCTCATGGGTTACCTAGATCCGACCTTCCTGCTCGCGGGTCACCCAAATCCAACCCTCCAAGTCGCTAGTCACCGAAATCCGATCCTCCTGCCCGCGGGTCACCCGGATTCGACCCTCAAACCCGCGGGTCACTTAAATCTGACCCGTGCCAGGGTCAAGACAGAAGACGTTCTGCACCTATTTCGTCGATCCCTTCGAGTTCCACACCTCCAGTGGAGCACCGCGATAGCGTGGATTTGTCCCTATTTAAGACCACTGATCATCTTGGTCTTTCGCACGCGGGTCGAGGTAAAACCTCGGTCAAAGAACGCTGGGGTCGGGTGATTGAATCCCGGGCAACTACTCAAGCTGGGGGTCGCACACGAAAAACTCCTGTAATTGACCGCCTCGGACGACGAATTAAAGTCCAAGAGCCCATCGAAAGTTTACGCTTACAAATGCGTGACTCTAAACGCGTGACTCTTGAGAATGCCAACAAACGGCAAATACCCTAAAAGAAACGTATTCATCTGACGATGACAATGTTGTACCTGGGAAGTCGTGTCAATGCATGATAAGTTGCTCCGGTCATCAGACCGATGAGTTGTACTATCAGGTTGGGGGTATGAATAAGTCTCAGAAGAGAAGTACCCGAGAATCGGAGTCTCACTGCCTGTGCGTCGAGCTAATCAGGGCAATATTATTAGCATGTAGTCGCCCCAAGACCGCTCCGTAGAGGGTCTCGGTATTTGAGATGATCTCTAATGGAGAGACTAAGTCCAAACCAAAGCGTTTCCGTAAGAAACGGTCAGCTGTTCGAGATGACGAATTCCCGAAAGTTACCATCAATATGGTCAATAAGAAAAAGTTCCTGATTGTTTCAAGTGATTCTAGCCCCGACTTTTCTCCAGGATAGCTAAAGTAGTGGGAATAGCACTACGGATATAAGTGGATCTGAGTACATGAATTTGAAGGAACTTCCAGATGGGGGCGACAAAGTCAATCTGACCTAAGAATGGAGGAGACTCCATGTGCAGAGATGACTACCCAGAGCGTGGAGCTTAGGAGGTCATCTAGGGTACCCAAACCGAATCTCAGATATCTCTCATTATTTGATTATTTACTTTTGACAGATAGTAGAGAACCAAAGTGCTATGAGGAGGCTATGCAAGTGAGTGAATCTCAGCAGTGGGAGCATGCGATGTAAGAGGAGATGAATTCTCTACACACTAATGAAACATGGGAGTTAACCCAACTACCTGTATAGAAAAAAGCCTTGCATAATAAATGGGTCTATCGGGTCAAGCGAGTGGACTACATGGAGATATTTTCCCCGTTGTGAAGCTCACAACCATCAGAGTGGTGTTGAGCTTAGTATCTACAGAAGATATCTACCTTGAGAAGTTAGATGTGAAGACTGCTTTTCTTTATGGTGACTTAGATAAAAAAAATCTACATGAAGCAACATGTTGGGTTCATTGAAGAAGGAAAGGAAGATATGGTGCGTAAGCTTAAGAAGAGCTTGTACGGATTGAAACAGGCTCCGAGACAGTGGTATAAGAAGTTCGACAACTTCATGCAGAGCAATGGCTATAGGAGATACAATTCAGATTATTGTTGCTACTTTAAAAGGTTCGAGTCCAGCTTTATCGTCTTATTATTCTATGTTGATGACATGTTAGTTGCAGGACCGTGTTTAGAAGAGATAAACAGATTAAAGAAGTAGTTGGCAAATGAATTTGCTATGAATGATCTGGGTGTAGCAAAGCAGATTCTTATGATGCGAGTCGGTAGAGAGGAAGTTGAATGGACGTTGAGATTAAGTCAAGCTGAATATATTGAGAAGGTACTTCAGAGATTCAGCATGCAGAATGCAAAGCCCATCGGCACACCCCTTGGAAGTCAGTTCAAGTTATCTGAGGAGCAATCACCCAAGACATATGCAGAGAAGGAGCATATGAGCAGAGTGCCATATTCGTTGGTCTTTGGGAGTCTCATGTACGCGATGGTTTGCACGAGGCTGGATATCGTCCATGTAGTGGGAGTTATGAGTAGGTTTGTAAGCAATCCAGGGAAGCAGCATTAGGAGACCGTGAAGTAGATATTTCTCTACTTGAGAGGGACTACAGACAAGCCACTATGTTTCAGGAAGAAGGAGTTAGTACTGCCGGGATACATGGATACAGATTGCGTCGGTGATTATGATACGAGACAGAGTACCACAGGGTATGTTTATACCTTAGCGTTAGCAGCAGTGAGTTGGGTTTCACATCTGCAAAAGATTATAACATTATCTACAATCGAGGCTGAGTATATCGCAGTGACTGAAGTAAGCAAAGAGATAATTTGGGTGACAGAGTGTCTGGAAGAGTTGGATCTAAATTAAGCAGGGGAACTGAGTTCTTTCTTGTGATAGCCAGAGTGTTATACACCTTGCCAAGAATCCAGTATACCATGTTAGAACGAAGCACATCGACATACGATACCATTTTATATGCTCGCTGATTAAGGACAGGAAGTTACAGCTAGAGAAGATTTTAGGGAGTCAAAATCCTACGGATATAGACAAAAACAGTGACCATTGAAAAATTGGAGTTGTGCGTAACTTCGGTTGGCCTTCATGGGTAGGAGATGAAGGTGGAGCCACACCAGGAGGATCAGCGGGATCGTCGGGTTTGATGATGATTGAAGAATGGATGTTTTCTGGGTAGGAGAAGATGCTTGCGAAGGAGGCAGGAGTTCGGGAGAGCTTGTTGATGTTGCTTTGGTCTCCAAGTGAGAGATTGTTAGTCTAAGTAGTGTAGACCCAAGCTAATTCAAAAAGAGGAAGAAAATAGTTCAGACGCTGGTCGGTCGACTGACGGAGGAGGTCCGGTCGATCGCGAACCCTGTAGAAAACTGAGGAGAAAATTGTACTCTGACCAATCAACCAAAGGTTGCTGTCGGTCGACCGAGAGTGGTCATCGGTCTACCGAAGGTGATGGCCGGTCGACCAAAAACATGCACCAGACCCTGTAATTATTTGGCGCTCTGTCCGGTCGACCGAAACTAAAGCCCGATCGACCGCGACGGGATTTTCCAGTTTCCAAATCTATTTTGGAATTCTATTTGATCAGGGGTCCTATATAAACTCTTATATGTTTCTAGGGTTTACTGCTGACAAAAAATAAAGGTTTTTGACGGTTCTTTGAGATCCAGTTTCTTAGAGAGAGAGAGGCCTATTGTGAGCATTGTAATCTTCTTCAATTAATCAAAAAATTATGTGGTGTGGCTCCCAAGGATGTAGGCACGTTGTCGAACCTCGTTAAATCTGGTGTGTTCTTTCTTGTTTACTTTCCTACAAGTTTTTATTTGATTTGTGGTGATTTTCCTACTTGCTCAACTCTCAAACACAAGATTCGGAAGGGCACGAATTCGATTTGATTGTTTTGAATCCCCAACACCAATAAGTCTTCGATATTGGCCTGGATCATCAAGAAGAGAGCTCGAGTCAAGTAGAAGGATATGTTGTTGTTGCATTAGAAATAGAGATGGCTTACGGCCTACCATTCCCGACTCTTCCAAGATGCCTAGAGTGTACTTGCGCTGACAAAGAGTTATACCTACAGGAGAGCAAGCTACCTCTAAACCAAGGAAATATTTTAGAGGTCCAATATCTTTAATATGAAAGCACTGCCGAAGCTACTACTTGACATGATCACGATGAGAAAGATCATTCCCTGCAAGAAAGATCAAGTGTGACTACTATTATTTGGAGAAAACAAATGAATTTCTGTATATTACATTAATCAACATACATGTGTATATGCATAGAGGGATTGCAAGAGATAGAGAGTATCAATTGTCACGCTCCGGACCTACGGGCACCGTTGGCGCGTGCAAGTCGTAAGACCCACCGAGAGCAACTCGATGTTGACTAAAACCCACTGTCAAAATGCTAGCACTAGTTATTCTTAGGCCTTAGACTTCTCTATTTAAGACACTAATATTTTTTCACACTGGTCCATATGGGACTAAAGTAGGGGTGTCACAATGATCCCACCTTACAAAAACGACGTCCTCGTCGTCACGACATGACAATGGATACATTCCAATATCACTGCTAGGCAATATGGACTCTAGAGGTGGCTCCTATGAGCTCTACAGGTGGCTCCTATGGGCTCTACAGGTGGCTCCTACTGTATCCACACGGTGTAACACTTAGCCCCGTATATCACTTAGCTCCACACTTTCGGCTGGTAACTGCTCTGATATCAATTGTCACATTCCAGGCCCATGGGCCTGGGGGCGCATGTAAGCCGTGAGACCCACCAAGAGCAACTCGATGTTGACTAAGACCCACTGTCAAAATAATAGCACTAGTTGTTATTAGGCCTTGGACTTCTCTATTTAAGCTACTAACATTTCTTCACACTGACCCATGTAGGACTAAAGTAGGGGTGTCACAATGATCTCACCTTACAAAAACGACGCCTTCGTCATCACAGCATGACAATTGGCACATCCCAGTATCACTGTCAGGCGATGTGGACTCTAAAGGTGGCTCCTACGAGCTCTAGATGTGGCTCCTACGGGCTCTAGAGGTAGCTCTCACCACATCCACACATTATAGCACTTAACCCCGTATAGCACTTAGCTCCACACTTTCAGCTGGCAATTGTTCTGATATCATTTATCACACCCCGGGCCCACGAGTCCGGGGGCGCATGTAAGCCGTGAGACCCACCGAGAGCAACTCGATATTAGCTAAAACCCACTGCCAAAATGCTAGCGGTAGTTGTTCTTGGGCATTGGATTTCTCTATTTAAGCCACTAACATTTCTTCACACTAATCCATGTGGGACTAAAGTAGGGGTGACACGTCAATCAACTCTCTACATATAATATCTAGTATCTAACAGCATCCCTACAGATTTCAGAATCAAAGAATATCTTCAATACGCCCCCGCAAGCAAAGGGCGTGAAACGACTTGTAGCTTGGATCGTAGGATTTCGAAGCGGCTTCTGACTAACGGCTTGGTCATGATATCCGCAAGCTGATCTTGTGTGGAAATAAACTATAACTAAAGGTCGAGACAAGCAACCTTGTCGCGAACTAAATGGAAATTGATCTTAGTGTGCTTCGTCCGTGCATGAAAAATTGGATTCACTGATAGGTAAGTGGCCCCCAAATTGTCACACCAAAGCACCGGAGGAGAATGGAGAGGGATACCGATTTCCTTGAAGAGTGACTGAAGCTAGTCAGTTCAGCTGACGTGTCGGCAAGAGCCTTGTACTCGGTTTCAGTGTAAGAACGAGAAACATGTGTTGATTGTGAGACATCCGCGAACATCAGGACATCCAGCCCAATCAGAATCATATAAGTCCTGAAGATGATCAGTGAGTCCACGTCGGAAGGATAGGCCATAATCTAGTATTCCTTTCAGGTAACGAAGGATACGTTTTATCACCATCTAGTGGTCCTCCATCGGCTGATCCATAAACTAACAAACCTTATTGATCGCAAAGGACAAATCTAGTCGAGTCGGAGTGATGTGTTGAAGGGCGCCTACAATCTGTAGGTACTTAGTCGGATTGGGAAATAGAGTACCAGAGAGTTTAGAGAGAAACATGGATGTAGAGAGTGGAGTGGTGACAAGTTTGGCATCAGAGAGGCCCGCTTTGTGAAGAAGCTCAGAAATATACCCCCGCTGAGATAGAAGGAGAACCGATGGTTTAGAAATCACCTCAATGCTGAGGAAATAATGAAGAGGGCCCAAATCATTAAGAGAGAAGTCAGTTGACAATGAGTTGATGAGGCGAGATATAAATTCTGAATCATTACCTGTCATGATAATATCATCCACATAGACAAGAACAAATAACTGAGCCTCGCCATTCGAGTAGAAGAAGAGAGAAGAGTCAGTTTTGGACGCTGTAAATCCATTAGCAACTAGTGCCTGAGACAGTCGATGAAACCAAGCTCTGGGGGGCTTGTTTGAGGCCATACAGAGACCGATGAAGGAGGCAGACATGACTAGGAAGTGCCGGATCAACAAACCCAAGTGACTGAGACATATAGATGGTCTCAGTGAGATTGTCGTGGAGAAAGGCTTTGTGAACATCAAGTTGTCAAATCGACCATCCATGAGATATGGCCAAGGCAATGATAGTGCGGATCGTCGTGGGCTTAACGACCGGACTAAAGGTCTCCTCGTAGTCCACACCTGGTTGTTGATGGAATCCCTTAGCAACCAGATGAGCCTTATATCTATCAATTGACCCGTTCGCCCGTCGTTTGATCTTGAATACTCACTTGCACCCAACCACATTCATGGTTGAAGATGTCGGAACAGGAGACCAAGTATCATTCCGAAGAAAGGCATTGAACTCGTCAATCATAACCCTATGCCACTTAGCATCCTTATTAGCAATGGTAAAGCATGTTGGTTCAAGAAGTGGTGTGGGCGCGGTGGTAGTGCATGTGGATGCTGAAGGAGAGAAAAGAACTTTAGATTTCAGGTTAGGGTGCAGGTGCATAGTATAAGTGCGGAGAGGTGGTGGTGGAGTGACACCGGTGGTGGGTGAAGAGGAGGAGGATGGGGAATCTGAAGTAGGTGGTGATGTGGTAGAAGAGGAGAACGATACATGAAGATGGATGAACAGTGCCGTGAACAGTGCCATGATAAAGTGGAGTTTAGGGGGAGTATATACTGGATTGGGAAAGGTAGGTAGGGGCTCGACCGAAGATGTGTTAGAAACAAGAGAGGAGTGGCTCATGGTATGGAACGGGAACTTAAGCTCATCAAACCAAACATGCCTCGCGATATAAAGACGTCGCATGTGTAGGTCGTGTTGGATTCCTAATCTATTTTGGTTTAGGATTCCAAATCTATTTTGGTAATAGGTTATTAGGATTCCTAATTTGATTTGGTTTTTGGTTTAGAATTCCTAGTATGTTTATGATTTTAGGATTTCTATATATATGGAACAATTGAAGGAGAGAATAGGAGAGAATTAGCATTGTTTTGAGCACTTTGAGAGGGAGATATTGTGAGGGAGTTGAGAGCTTTGGTTAGGGTTATATTTGAGTAATTTTGTGAGTTGTAACCCATTGTATTTCTCCTCCATATAGTAAAATCTCCCCATCCTCTCCCTGTGGACGTAGGCAATTTGCCGAACCACGTAAAAATTAGTTGTACTACTTTTGTGTGATTTGTAATAGCTTTTTAGAATCCCTCGACAGGTCAGTCCTAGAACTGATGAGAGGAAGAGCCGATATCTCACTTTGTTGAGATATTCGCTTCAGATTCTTGTTTCCTTGGTGAGACAGGAATTCTTATTGCGACCTGACTCTCTTGTTGTGCTGTCGAAGTGCTGTCGAAATTTCCGTTGCGCGCAATCTTATTGCGACCTGACTCTCTTGTTGTGCTGTCGAAGTGCTGTCGAAATTTCCGTTGCGCGCAACAAGTGGTATCAAAGCCCGGATTTCAGATCTATGGTTTTTTTTGGTGGAGGAAGATTCTTGTGTGAAGCTTGGTTCTTGGAGTTCTAGGCTTCGGTGGAGATAGCATTAGGAGTTGCCATTGGAGATTTCGCTTTCCTCGTGTGGATAGGAGATCTATTTGGAATCCGATCTAGGATTCAGTTGGGTGGTTCCTAATTCTGTCAAATTTGTTCTTTCTCTATAATTTGGAGTTAGTTTGCAATGGGAGAAGAAGATGAAAGCAGCAAGTCGATGGCGAGTACAATACAAGTTGGTTTTCAGAACACTAAGATTAGTGTGGTGAAGTATGATGGCAAAATCAACTTTGGTTTGTGGATGAACGACGTATAGGATGCGCTCAATGCTCAGAACTTGGAAGAAAATATCATGGTCCACGAGAGGCCACCTAAATATGAAGAGGCGGTATGGGAGAAGATGAATAGAAACGCTTATGGAGTGATCAGGTCCTGTTTGGAACAGGAGCTGAAATATGATGTGATTGGGGTGACGTCTGCAATGAAGATGTGGGAAATTCTCAACAATAAGTATCTCACAAAGAGTGTTGAGAACAGGTTGTACTTATTACGAAGACTCTTCAGATTTTAGATGTCTAGAGGCACCTCGCTAGCGGCTCATGTGAACAACTACACTAAGTTGTTGTCGGACTTGGCGAATGTTGATGAGAAGATATCGGATGAGTACAAGGCGATTATTTTGTTGGGCTCCTTACCCGATGAGGAGTATGATACTTTCGTGCTCACTTTGTTGAACGTGAGATCTTCTATCAGCTATAGTAAAGTGACTAACGCTTTGACCAATTATGATTTGAGGAGGAAGGACAAGGAGACTTCCCGCGCTAGTACTTCAAGAGAGGCCTTGTCGACGAGAGGTAGAAGCCCATATCCGAAAGGTGGTAATAGAGGAAGGTCAAAGTCAAGAAGCCGCCACCAATAGAGGAAGGTCAAAGTCAAGAAGCCGTCACCAATTAGCAAAGAACCAATGTGCATTCTGCAAGGAGCAGGGACATTGGAGGAGAGACTGCCCGAAGCTCAAGGAGAAAGAGAATGGCAAGAAAAAGGGCCCGAAGGCCAATGAGATGAATATTACGAAAGGCGATGATTCCGATGATTCGTGCTTTTCTCTACTGATTACTCTGGAGGTGAACCATATGGATGCATCAGATTGGATGCTTGATTCCGGCGCTACTTTTCATGTGACCCCTAGACGAGACTGGTTTACATCTTTTGAGAAAGTCGACGGGGGCGTTGTTGTCATGGGAAATGATCAATCCTGTGGCGTTTGTTGGATAGGTACCATGCGGATTAGGATGCACGATGGAGTAGTCCGTGAGTTAAAGGAGGTGAGATTTGTTCCTCAACTGAAGAAAAATCTTATCTCAGTTGGAGCTTTGGAGGCGAAGGGATTCAAGGTGACTTTCAAAAACGCTGTAGCGAAGGTTGCTAAGGGATCATTGGTGGTGATGAAGGGATTCCGCAATCGGAATTTGTATTATCTGAAGGGAAGCACCGAGATTGGCCAGGTTGCTTCGGCTATTTTAGAAGCGGACATGAGCAGACTTTGGCACTATAGGTTGGGGTACACAGGTAAAAAGTCACTGCATGCATTGTACAAGCAGGGACTATTGAAGGGAGCCAAGAGTGGGAAGATTGAGTTCTGTGAGCATTGTGTTCTTGGCAAGAAGATGAAGGTGAAGTTCGGGACTGCCATTCATCAGACGAGGGGCATCCTAGACTACGTGCACACAGACGTTTGGCGTCCCACCAAGACTGCATCACTTGGTGGTCGACATTGGTTCGTCACTTTTGTAGATGACTATTCTAGGCGTTGTTGGGTGTACACCATGACGAAGAAGAGTGAAGTCCTAGATTTGTTTGTGGAGTGGAAGAAGAGATTGGAACTGCAGACTGGGAGAAAGATCAAGACGTTGCGATCCGACAACGGTGGTGAGTATACTTCTGACCCCTTTCAGCAGCTATGTCGAGACGAGGGCATAGAGAGACACTTCACAGTTAGTCATACACCGCAGCAAAATGGGGTGGCAGAGAGATTGAATCGGTCTATACTGGAGAAGATCCGATGGTTATTATCGCAGAGTGGTTTGGAAAAGATCTTTTGGGCTGAGGCACTTACATATGCGAGCCACCTCATTAATAGGCTGCATTCATCTGCGATTGAGGGGAAAACCCCTATGGAGATGTGGTCAGGAAAGCCAGCACATGATTATGACCAGCTCAAGGTATTTGGGTGCTCTGCATATTATCATGTTAGAACTGATAAATTAGAATCTCGAGCTAGGAATGCCATATTTGTAGGATTCAAGCATGGTGTCAAGGGATACAAGCTTTGGGATCCAGTGGATAAGAAGATTGTGCTGAGTAGGGACGTCACATTCGATGAGGCTTCTATCTTGAAGCTTCCCAGCTCTCATCAGGTGGAGAGCGACCCGACGGAGGAGATATCATAGGTGGTGGAGATCGATGCAGCTCCACATTGTCCAGATGGTATAGTATCCATGCAGGTGCCGACTGAGGTGACGCCAGGCGAGCACGACGGTGATACGGAGGATACGGGTACTGATGTGCAGGATCAGGAACCGACGGCTCAGGTTCAAGATCCTATTGCGGTTCGGAGACAGAGGAGAAACATACAGATGCCAGCACGGTATGCCGACACAGTTGCGTATGCACTTCCGGTGGAGAGTATCGATGAGTTAGTGCCTACTACATTCAGAGAGGCCGAGCAGAGTTCGGAGGCTGATTCGTGGCAAGTGGCTATGCAGGAGGAGATGGAATCTCTTCATAAGAACGATACATGGGAGCTTGTTGAGCTTCCAAAGGGGCGGAAGGCAATTGGTTGCAAGTGGGTATACACGAAGAAGGAGGGCATTGAGGGCACTCCATTGAGGTTCAAAGATAGGTTGGTTGCGAAGGGCTATGCACAGGAGGAAGGTATTGACTATAATGAGGTTTTCTCTCCGGTGGTGAAGTACTCTTCGATTCGGATTCTGCTAGCTTTGGTGTCACGGTATAGTTTAGAGTTAGATCAGTTGGATGTGAAGACGGCATTTCTTCATGGTGATCTTGATAAAGAAATATATATGACTCAGCCATTAGGATTCCGAGCTGCACGAAAAGATAAGTTGGTTTGCAGATTGAAGAAATCGCTATACGGTTTGAAACAGTCTCCTCGACAGTGGTATAGGCGATTTGATGGTTTTATGCTTGGTCATTCGTACACTCGGAGCCAGTTTGATCCTTGCGTATATTTTTGCTAGTTGAAAGGAGGTGCGTACATCTATTTGTTGCTCTATGTCGATGACATGTTAGTTGCCTCTACTTCCAGGTCGGCTATAGATGAGTTGAAAGTTCGGCTTTCAAATAAGTTTGAGATGAAGGACTTGGGTGAGGCGAAGCGCATTCTAGAGATGGAGATCAGCAGAGACAAGAAGAAGGACAGAATTTGTTTGACACGGGTGGCTTATTTGAAGAAGGTTCTACAGCGATTCCATGTTAGCATGGATACGAAGCCAGTTAGTGTACCATTAGGAGCCCATTTGAAGCTTTCAGCTGGTCTTTCACCGAAGTCAGTTGAAGATCGAGAGTTGATGTTGAAGATTCCATATATGAGTGCGGTTGGAAGCTTGATGTATGCAATGGTATGTACGGGACCGGATTTGTCACAGGCGGTGAGCATGGTGTCGAGATACATGCACGATCCAGGAGTGGGTCATTGGGACGCTGTGAAATGGATTTTGAGGTACATTCGAGGTACGCTCAATGTTAGTTTGGTTTATGAGCGGGACACTACAGGTGGGCAGTTGTGCATTGGCTATGTTGATTCAGATTATGCCGAGGATTTGGATAAGCGTCGGTCTACTACGGGATATGTGTTTACTTTGACCCGTGCGCCGGTGTGTTGAAGATGCACCTTACAGACCACAATGGCTTTGTCTACGACGGAGGCAGAGTATATGGCAGTTACGGAGGCTGTGAAGGAGGCTATTTGGCTTCGAGGACTTTTGGTGAAACTTGGTATTTCGCAGAGGTCTGTCACCATTCATTGTGATAGCATGAGTACTATCTATTTGGCAAATAATCAGGTTTTTCATACGAGGACGAAGCACATTGACGTCCGTTATCACTTCGTTCGGGATGTTCTTGAAGATGGCGATGTGAAGATTGTGAAAGTCCACACAAAGGATAATCTGGCGGATATGCTCACTAAGGTGGTTCCGAGCAACAAGTTTGATCATTGTCGAAACTTGTTGCACATTCGTGATTGTTGAGGCTGTTGACGGCCATTTGAGTGAACTGCGTTCGGCTTGATCCCTTGGGAGAGGGGGTACGTAGGCAACCATATTGGTGCAGCCGAGTTTAGAGAGACGACACATTGGTGCTCATGTTGGTGTCGGCTCAGTGTTGGGAACACTTCGTCGAGGTGGAGAATTATTGGATTCCTAATCTATTTTGGTTTAGGATTCCTAACCTATTTTGGTAATAGGTTATTAGGATTCCTAATTTGATTTGGTTTTTGGTTTAGAATTCCTAGTATGTTTATGATTTTAGGATTTCTATATATATGGAACAATTGAAGGAGAGAATAGGAGAGAATTAGCATTGTTTTGAGCACTTTGAGAGGGAGATATTATGAGGGAGTTGAGAGCTTTGGTTAGGGTTATATTTAAGTGATTTTGTGAGTTATAACCCGTTGTATTTCTCCTCCATATAGTGAAATCTCCCCATCCTCTCCCCGTGGACGTAGGCAATTTGACGAACCACGTAAAAATTGGTTGTACTGTTTTTGTGTGATTTGTAATAGCTTTTTAGGATCCCTCGACAGGTCAGTCCTAGAACTGATGAGAGGAAGAGCAGATATCTCACTTTGTTGAGATATTCGCTTCAGATTCTTGTTTTCTTGGCGAGACGAAAATTCTTATTGCGACCTGACTCTCTTGTTGTGCTGCCGAAGTGCTGCCGAAATTTTCGCTACGCGCAACAGGTCGAGACACCGATAGCCATGATGGGTAGGACTATAATCTAGAAACGCGCAAGGAGAGGACCGAAAATTCATCTTATGTGAGTTGTAGGGCCAGAGATATGAAAAACCAGAGGCACCCAAAGACCTTTAAGAATAGATAATCACGGAAGAGACACTGAAATGGTGATTGATTTGAGGAAACTCGGGATGGCAAACGATTGACAAGGTAGACAGCACTTATATAAGTTCAATAACTACCATGGAGCTACACTCGACCGGAGCATGAACATCTGGGTCGGTGTCGTCTGGTCATGAAAGACTTCCTCCAACGAACCCCAACCTTGTTCTCGGCCGTAGAGCATTGATCACGGCTCTACGCCAAGCTGGGTAATTAGTACTCATGGTGAAGAAGTGCGCGTGACATTACGTTATGGCTCTGGTGTGATTTGCCTGTGACAGAAGCGGATCTGTCTGAATCGGGTTTGACCGGACTCGGCCCATATCCCATCACTGCTATCAATACAGTCATTATTGTTAGATATGGCGTGACATATTCTTGGTATTGTTTTTAATAGGAGGTAGTTGATAAGAGGTGGAGGGAATGTCGCGAATCTAAGTATTCTAGCAAATAACTAATAATAAAAGGAAAAGGATTTATGCTGTAAAAATTTCCTACAACCGCGGCCAAAAGGAGATCAAATCATAGCAATCATACATGATGTCGTTTGCCTGCGCTGTCAGAGCTTTTTCAGTACTACATTTACGTCATAAACCTGATTTTGCTGTGTGGGGTTCAATGTACTCCTATAATTCAGAAAGTAGGAAGCAGAAGAGGCAGATGGGAGTTGGAACTGCTCACAGGCCTATTAAATTGACTCCCATTATTATCCATTATATTATTGTTACTATATATGTATTAGATTAATTGTCAATAGACCTCGTGTAGTTCTATCGTTGCAGATGGAACCCCCTGGATTCTCGACTCTGTTAGTTTCACTTTCTATAAATTTGCGTAATAAACGGTACGTATAACTAATTCAAATGGCAGAAGCTCTCGGGGTTAAGAATCCGAAGGGTCTATCTGCAACAAGAGAAGTATAGAGAGTGTATGCGCAATTTGGCGATAGTATTAGGGATCTATCCATAACTAACCCTTATATAAATCACACAAGGAGGTGGAGATACCACTCGTACAATTCTGAAGAAACTAGGGATCAGCAAATGGAGGTGATGGGGTTGGATGCAGTACTGAGTGAGGCAAGAGAGGCGTTTGAGAGTGGGAAAACAAAGGGCTTGGCCTGGAGAAAATCTCAGCTCGCTGCTCTTCTGAAGCTGCTACAAGAGACCGAGGAGGATATTTTGAGGGTTCTGAAAGAAGATCTTGGCAAGCACAGAGCTGAAGCTTTCAGGGATGAGGTTTTATTTCTTTATCAAATGCTACATATTTTTTTATTAATCCACTGGTTTGTTCATGATTCTTGAATGTATATATTATATGCAGGTAGGACTTGTCATGAAGTCTGTCAAGTGTCATCTAGACAATATCAAGAAATGGATGGCTCCCACAAAGGTAGAATATAAGATAGCTATTAATACAATATAATGTGTAGGAGAATTGTGTTCAAATTAACCTAGTAACCAGCCTTTTTAAAAAAAAATAGATTCCCATTTTTAGAAGTCAAAATATAGCACATGTTATCTTGTTCATACTTGATCTTCTCGATTTTGGCTCGAAGGAGTGCTCTTTGATTTTTTCAAGAATTCCTTTGATTTTTATGGAATTCTACCCTATTAAAATCAAGGATTAGTATAGACTAATCCCATGAAATTGTTTATTAAATTATGGGCTAACTGCAGTTAGCCCCCATTAGCATCGCCAAATTGGACTTACTATCCTTGTAGACCCATTGTTGCTGATAGACCTCCTGAAAGAGTTCTATTGTTGCAGATAAACGCCCTTGGTGAAAATCTATTTTTGCAAATAGACCCCCACTGAGGGAGTCTGTCTGCAACAATAGAACTATAGTTGTAGTAACTTCAATGTGGCAATATTACATGGAGTCATTTAACCCTTAAAATAATCTCTCTATAAAGATATCTAAAGATTACATGAATTGGTCGTTATTTTCAGATTGCAGTTCCCATCGGCGCTTTCCCAACAACTTGTGAACTGGTGCAGGAGCCCCTTGGAGTTGTTCTCATTCTTTCTTCTTGGAATTTACCTATAGGTACTGTTGATTTTCACTCATTTATTTAACTGCAGTGAATTAATTAAAGGGTGGTGATTGAGATAGATTCTGATCTCTGACCCGCTAGCTATTTTTTATTTCAAAAGTGAAAAGAAAACTTGATGCAGCTGCAATTAATGCAAGTTTAGGCAAAACCACACTCTTGTTTAACAACTAACTAGTGTGCACCTGCACGGCCTCCTATTTTTTTAAGCACTGCATTTTAACCTTGTCTCCCTCTAAGTTTTAATACATTTGATTTAATTATCGTATGCTAAAAATTAGAAATTATATCTACTCCTCTATACTTAAAGAATGATCCAATTTTTAATATATTACATTTAGAAATCATATTTACTCCTCTATACTTAAAGAAAGACTCAAGTTTTAATACATTTTATTTGTTTTACTGCTTATGATGCAGTAAATTACTCTAGCATGAATAGTAACTTCAAGTATGGATGAGAAGATTTAATTTACTGTTTATACTACAGTAAATTACTATAGCATAAACAGTAACTTCAAGTACGGAGGATCAGATTTGGTTTAATGTTTTTACTATAGTATTTAATGTAGTATAAAGCACTATTAGTGTTGGTACTATTCTCGTTGATAGCCAACAATATGTAGTCCCATACGACATTGGTCCATTGATAACCAACAACATGTAGTTTCACTTTGTTACGCTGAAATTCATGTAGATTAACGCCTCATTTGGTACGCGGGAATGGACTCAAATGAGAATGGAATGGAAGAATGAATGGAATGGAATTAATGTGAGAATGGAATAGTTATTCACATTCTCACGTTTGGGTGTAATTTATAAAATAAAGTGGGAATGAACGTATTTTAAAATTGTATATTTTATTGATTCTTATTTAAGTGGGAATGTTTATTCCCTATCATTTCATTGGGAATGCTCATTCCCACATAAAGTGAGAATTGATGAGAAGTGGGAATGAGCATTCTAACTTCAAAAAAATGGGTGTGTTTGGTAGAAAGGAATGAGAAGTGTGAATGATCATTCTATTCCACCACATTCCCGCGTACCAAACGAGGCCTAAATGCGTACGCTTGAGTTGAAAGTTTGTTGGGGTTTTTTTGGCGGTTGGAGAGTTAAGAAAGGGATGCAGGTGATATTCTAGCCAAATTGGGAAGTAAATTTATATGCTTTCTTACATTGGTTTGTTTTTTATTAACCATAAAAATTTCCATTTCGTGTAATGTAAAGTAATATCTATAGTTGTATGTGACCATATAGGACATGTCTAACCATATACTAAGCTGTAAGTGGGTTAGATATACCAAAGGGCTCTTTCACCGTACTGCACCAAAACTCTGAAGTTGTAATGAGCGTGAAGGTTTATAATTTTATACTCTACCAAGAAACGGACATGGGTTTAGGTGAGAGTACGTAGACCCGTTCAGTCAATTACTTTTGTATTCTTTGCCTTATGTTGGTCGAGTCAGGTTTGGGTCGACTCAAACCCGGGTAACCGACCGGATCCACTTGCCACCCCCCTATTTACCAACTATTTATACAACGGACGAAAAAGTTAAATGGGTCTAGAGATAATTCTAGGAATATTTTGTCTCTAAGATCACCTCCGCTACATGTTTCTACTTTGTCCTTGATATGTAGAATTGGCTATTAATTCCCCTTTGTGTGGTTGAAGTGTGGGCCGTACACGTCAACGTAATAGTTACGTTGCAACCACATATTTAATGGGTACACGTCAAGGCAATTATGTTGGGTACACTGTAATGGGTATCAGATTTCTGAGCATATATTTTGTTCCCGTGACCAATTTTCATTTTATGATTTTACTTGAACATATGAAGCTTGTGTCCATCGATAATTTTCACAAAGCAACCACAAATAACGTTCTTTCTGGGGTAACGGTATAATCGACGTGAAAACCATTTTTACTATATTTCAATTTGCCTCATGTCTAGGGGTTTTAAATTGTATCCGTATCCGAAAAAATATCTATAACCGTATTCATTAAGATACGGATATGGTTACTCAAATCTATAACCGATAGGATATGGTTTGTAGTGAAATATTCAGAACCGTGTCTGAAATATCCGAGTACATATCAATCATATTGTTACAATGGTTTTAGTCTTTAGATTAAGGATATGAGGTTAATCTTGACGATCAAGATATCTAATCTTAGCTTTTCAAAAATAATGAACTCTTTTGTATCACATGAACATTATTTTTTTCAACGGTGCTAGTTTTCTCATATCTGTTTTATATCTGCATATATATCCGTATCTGTATCCAATTTTAGCGGATATGGGTATGAATTTTCCTTACCGGGTTATATCCATATCCGTATCAATATCCGAAATGGGTAAGTGGGTATAGATACGGTAAGCATCATATCCGAGCCGCATTGGGACCGACCGAATGCACCCCTACTCATGACTGTTTGATTCAGGACTTTCCTTGGAGCCACTTATTGGAGCTATATCATCTGGAAATGCAATAGTCCTAAAGCCTTCTGAACTTGCTCCATCATCATCTGCTTTCTTAGCAAACACTATCCCTAAGTATCTGGACTCCAAAGCTGTGAAGGTCGTTCAAGGGGGCCGAGATATTGCAGAGCAGCTGTTGGAACAAAAATGGGACAAAATATTCTTTACCGGTAACAAAAAGTCTCCTGTTTATCCTTTCCTTCTCTTTTTTTTTTTTTTTTTTTTTTTTTTTT